TTGGGCAACCTGTGATTTTACTTTGTCGTCTTCTAAGACACAAAGATAAGGCACAAAGATATTACTTTTAAAATGAGTTAAAATTATGATCTCCTCTAACGCAGCACTATAAAATTAAGTTCCAGTAATACTTATGAGCTCGGGTCGTTATTTCGGTCATCCTTGAAAAGTTCTATAATTAAGATTTGACATTGATACTACACAATCCCTCGTCGATAGTGTTATAAAATAATTTTACGAAATGTAAATAACACTAGCACACCTACAAAATAGAAATTGAAAAGCGCAAAGTAATTACTATGTATCTTTTTTTTTATGATGAAAACAATGATATCACTGCTAATGTGATAAAATTTAATTAAAATAGACTGAGGATACTTTCTATTTTGCCGCAAACTTCGGCCAAGGAACACGGTAGAAGTTTGGTGAACTTGCGAATATCGGTAACACTGCATTCGCTACGCTTTTACCTATCACTTATAACTATACAGGCTGCCCACAATTTACTCTTAAAAAAGGAATTTTTAGCTTTCTTTTTTATTTTGTGCGTCTGCTTTACGGTCAGGGATCTAAAAACACTTGACCCACAGTATTTTCTAATTGTTAACAAACAAAATTACAACAATAACCAAGGTAGTCGACGAAATGATCTATTTTCTCACATTTATATCCACCTTGGCCAACTGGGTAGCAGTCGACCACGTAAAAACAAGAATGTGTCTCGTATGAGCATTTTAAATTAAAGTTAACATGTGTCCTAGATTTCCTATAGATTTCGTTTTTTCTTGATAAGCAACGAATCATAGACTGTCTACCTTCCTCACCGCACGTAGACATATCGCTCACAATGTGACTTCGCTTACCACGCCTATGACCTTGAAGAAAAATTAAAATTAAAGTGAAGTAAAGTAAAATTAAACAGGGGGCTGATCCTGGATTATTCAAGGTGGGTGGCTAGTACTTTGGGTTCGCATAATCAATGGCGCATGTCCCCCACAATGTTGCAATTTGATGACTGAAAGTTAATTTTAAACCAATATACCAGAGGTACTAGCAATGCCGGAAACTAGACTTTACAATGAGGTACCTGTCCAGNAATTTTCTATAAAGGTGTTAATTTCGTGTGTTTAAATTTCGCGAGGATTTTTATTCGCGGTTCTTTAATTTCGCGATTTCTTTGCAATCGCGAAGGTCGCGAAATTAAAGACCCGCGGAATTAAGTACCAATATGGTAAAACCCATCCCGAAAGACAGAACAGTATTTAAAAAGGAATCAAAGCTACAAAAAAAGTTACAGACTCGCCTATAAGTTAGATAAATATTTATATTCACAAAGATCCCATTAGGATTTGAACTCGTTATCTTTATTCCAGCGCTGAGTGCACTAAGCTGTAGCAACTGAAATAGAATATTGCATTGTGTACAATTCCCTTCATTTTGGTGATTACATTAATTATATCTATCCTATCCTACCTTTCTGAAGAGACGACATCATCGAACCCACAGACGTTTGTTCTATATTGTGAATTGGAAAACTGCCGCAGAAATCCAGAATCGTTTGAGGTAAAGTCAATCGATTAGCGTGACCGACCACTTTCCAATCACTTCTTTTAGTAGTTGTCACGTGATGGTCACGTAAGACCTTCGATGACACCTAAGCAGCAACATTGAAGACATTGCACAACAAACATTACAAAGTCTCTTTCGCACTTTATAAAAGTTACTCTTTATGACTGCCTCATTGATCAAAATAGCTCAGTTGTCATTCAACGTCAAAAACTGGTAGAAGTCAGATTTCTTTTGATGGCATAAACATTGTCAACTTTGGGCTGGACTGCAGGGCCAGGTTGCTCAAAGCCTGATTAAGCTAACCCAGGATTAGCGAGAATTTTGTTTCAGTTTTGTAACTTTTCGGTGATGTTTTCTGTTGACACTGTTTGCCCTTCAGTTTTTAGTTTGAGTAA